CATATATTTTTCTTGATCAATACATACAAGACTATAACGAATTCGATCCTACAAAAAACAGAACGAAAACATTATTTTCTTTATTGAAAAAAATGCAGAGGAAGTTTTTACTGCCTTACTGAATTGTAACGGATCATAAAACGGGAAAGAAAGTTGCATCGGAGGAGATAGGTGTACCCAGGCAGTGCGTGAATCACACACTAGGGGAATGAAACTGAAATATTCGAGTCCGGAAAAAAGGAGTTCACTCGCTCATTTATTTTGCAAATCACCAGATTAATTATGTAATCACCAAATCGTGATTTTTGCAATTTGATTTAAATTTTAAATGGTTAATTTTTGTTTCCATTATCCTTAACTTACGCCATTTTAATAATTTTACAATTCTGAGTGACGTTTTGGTACATTCCGTATTCTTTTCATTCTGGAAAATTGATCATGATGGAAGGTGTAGATTTAAACATTTCAATATAGAATAATTCCAGTGATGATCGTTCGGATTATAATGAAGAAGTTGTTGCGCATGATGTTGAGGAAGATGTTGCAGCGGGGAAATTATCGTTACATTCACATGTGGTAAGAGAAATCGATGATTTTGATCATGTTTCTGCAGCGATTGTTGTTAGTCATGATAGATCATTGGTTGGAATTGATGATCGTGTCCCTGAATCTTTGGAAGGTAATATGATCTGGTTGATTATATGTTATTGTATTTATAATTTATATTGATGTCGTCGATAATGCATAATTAATTACAACTTATGAATGTTCGTTCAAAAGTTACGAGTAACGTATGATTTATGATGAAAAGAGTTCGATTTCTATGGCCCATGGATGGTGTGTTGTTGGTTATGATTTACTGATGATTTTTAAGCAGTTGTTGATGCATAATGTGTGGCTATTGATGAATATCAATAGTAAACTAGAGGAATCGCACACTAGGGGAATGAAATGAAATATTTGATCATGTTTCCTCAGTAATTGTTGTTAGTCATGATAGATCATTGGTTGGAATCGATGATCGTGTCCCTGAATCTTCGGAACGTAATATGATCTGGTTGATTATATGTTATTGTATTTATAATTCATATTGATGTCGTCGATAATTCATATTTAATTACAACTGATGAATGTTCCTTCAAAAGTTACGAGTAACGTATGATTTATGATGAAAAGAGTTCGACTTCTGTGGCCCACGGATGGTGTGTTGTTGGTTATGATTTACTGATTTTTTTAAGCAGTTTTTTATGCATAATGTGTGGTTATTGATGAATATCAATAGTAAAGATTTTAAAGGTGATTTATTTTTAGTTTTTGCTATTTAATGAAGGATGAATTTTATACGGATGTTTCTCAAAAACAATTTTATACGGATGAATGTTGGTTCAAAAGTTACGAGTAACGTATGATTTATGATGAAAAGAGTTCGACTTCTGTGCCCCACTGATGGTGTGATGTTGATTATGATTTACTGATGATTTTCAAGCAGTTGTTGATGCATAATGTGTTTTTATTGATGAATATGTTCTCGATGTTGTTTGTTAGCCGATGATTTTTTTATGTTACGTAATGAATATAAAATGTATTCGTGATGAATAATTTATTTATTATGTTCATCAAATGATGTGCTTATTGGTCGATACTTTAACTCTGTGGAGGAGGCTTTTGATGCTTATAATTCTTATGCAAAACGCATCGAGTTTTCAGTAAAAAACTTCAAAGACAGAAAAAAGCCCAAAACTGGTGAAGTCTACTGGAAACAATTTGCATGTAGCAAACAAGGTTTCAAAACTTCAAAAGGTAGGTGCTATCTCAAGATGGATACGAGTGTTGGTTGTTAAGCGATGGTGCAGTTGAGGATTGATCACGAAGGGATATGGAAGGTGGTGAAGCATGTGGTTGATCATTGTCATGATCTTGTTCCTTTAAGACAGAGACATTTGATTTGGTCTCAAAGAGAAGTTTCCAACGAATGATGTGATGCTTTTGTCCAATTTAAAGGATAGTGGTGTTGGGCTTACTAATGGTTCCGGTTTTTTGAAATCAAGCACATGGTGTTCCTAACCTAGGCTACACCGTAACAGATGCTAGGAATAAGGTTGCAGTTCATGAACATGCTAAATGGGAAGGTGGTGATGCAAACAAGCTGTTGGATTTGTTGAAGGAAAGGAAGGAGACAGAAGAAGGTTTTTATTACAACTATCTCCATGATGATGAATGTAGGCTTTGTTGTGTTTTTTGGAGGGATTCGCATATGAAAAGAGATTATGATGTCTTTGGTGATTTGGTAGTTCATGACACCACTCACAGGACAACTAGATACAAACTTGTTTGTGCACCATTTACAAGAATGAATCACCATATACAAAACATCATGTTTGGAGTAGGTTTTTTTTTACATGAGGATATCTCGTCATTTAAATGGCTTTTTGATGAATTCTTGAAGTCTATGGGTGGGAAAGAACCCACAACCATCATGACCGATCAGTGTGCTGTCATGGGTGCTGCAGCCCCTTCGATTTTCAAGAAGGCACGACATCGTCTTTGCACATGGCATATCGGCGAAAATTTGAAGAACCACATTGGCTACCTTAGGAGCAAAGCTGGTTTTAAGGATTTATTCCAATTGGTTCTAAGGCACACTGATACAGTTTCTGAGTTTGAGCATTAATGGCGTTTGTAAGTTTCGTTTATTCACTGTTACTTCATGAATTTTTATTTGAATAATGAATTTTTATACCTAGCTGATGAATGTGACAATGCATATAAATGAATAATGTTTCTGTTTATGTAATACTGATAAGATAATGCATAACCCATTAAGACAACGAATAATCATATCCATCTAATGAGCGTCGCAAGCCATTCAGATGAATAAGTTATATGATTATTTAGTACTGATTTTATGATGCATATTTTTGTGAGATTGTTGTGTATGAGATATTTTTTGATGAATAACTATTCACAATTTGTGTTTATGTTTTTTTTTTGAACAACCAGGACGTGCGATACTTACAATTATCACAATGATAAGTGGTTGAAAGCTAGGTATGCCTCAAGAGAGAAGTGGTGCCCTGCATTTAGCAAGTCCTTTTTTTCGGGTGATGCATTGTCGTCGCAAAGGAGTGAAACAACAAACATGTCAATTTTGCAATCCCTTACTACGACTTCTCGGTTGTGCACTTTTTATGATAGGTTCAAAGAAGTAATTGATGGTTGGATGCAAAATGAGAATGATGAAGACAACTGTTGCAACAATGGTCGCGTTAATATGCATTTTCCAAATAGTGATATGTGTCGGCATTCTAGAGAATTATACACAATTCAGGCCTATATTGTGTTCGAAAAAGAATTTGATTCCATAGTTCAGTGTAGTCATTGATTCATTGGTCCTTTTAACAGCCACCCTGATATAGAGCCTCATGTGAGGCGGATGCAAGTTGATGTGATGAATCACTAAGTTATTTTTAATGCTCGTTCGAATGCGATTAAATGCACATGCAGCAAGTTTTCAGATTCGGGGTTTTTGTGTGCTTATTGTCTCAGAGTTTACATGTTTCGTAATGTCAATCAAGTTCCAGAATGTTATATTTCGCAAAGGTTCAGAAGGAATGCAAATATAGGGTGAATTGGTGATTCTTTGGACAGTGCATATCGGACTAAATTTGATATCTTGCGTTCTTTCTTATGGAGGACCGACATGATTAAGAAGTTTCTCAGCCTTTTATTAGCTAGTGAATCATGTGACGGTGCCAAAAAAATCATTGCAGATACCATGAAAACATCGTCTGATAATGTTCGTATGGAGGTTGGATCTTCGCCCGAAGAAACTGAAGAGGATGCGTTTGGAAACAAGGCTTCTACAAGTTCAACTGTAAATATTAAAGATCCTAAGACATTGAGGCCATTGGGGGAGCGGAATGTAAGATGGAAGAGTGCAACTGAGATAAGATCAAGAAAAGCTAGTGCTAAACATAAGAAAGGTGCAGCTTTGAGGACGAGGAAGACTATATACAAAAGGGTGAACTCTGATAACCCTGATTTTATTGGTCGTTATGCGCACTCTCTTGTTTATAGTGGATTTGATCAGGTTAATAGTCAATGTAGTGAAATATAGCATAAAAACGTTTGGATTTTGTTTGATGTATTGATGTGTTTTTTTGTGTTATTGATGAACAATGAAAGCTGGAAGTGCTGAAATAATTCTATCTTACTAATGTGAAGTTATTTTATATATAGCTATTTTTTTTTGTGTTTTAAAGTTGGTTACCGTGTTTTAGAATATATTAATAGTCATATTATGTCAATGAACAACGTTTAAAATCGAGGATAAACTGGTTTTAAATTTATGGGATGTTGCGATGAATATCAATATTACAATGATGAACAACAGTGGTTCAACCTTTGAATAACCATATATACACTTAATAATAAACGATTTTTAAATTTCTTAGTTCATCATCTCCATACATTAATTCACTAATTTGATGTTAATATTCATTATGATTTTATGGTTGTCTATATTCATCCTTTATTTCAGTTCATGTTATATAGAATGTAAATATTATGAGATATGGAATGAAATGAACAATTATTCTAGGACGGATATATTTTTATGCGTTATTGATGCAAAATTGGTTCCTATTTTTTTTGTTTGGTGTAGTGATTTAAACCTTATAATCCTTATGATATTTATAAACATAAAATACCAAAAGCTGTCTTATATCATATACTGTAAACCAAAATAATATAAAATAACAAAAGTTGTTCCAAATTGACTAATCAAACTTTCTGGATTCATCAAAAGCTGTCTTAAATCGAAAACCGCAAACTAAAATAACATAAAATAACAAAATTTGTTCCACATTCACTAATCAAACTATCTGGATTCAACAAAAGAACAACAAGAGTTTTAGGCTCTATGGGTTTCTTGTAGCGTGCAATTCTTCGATCCCCTCTCTGATGGTCATTGATTTGGTGTTGATGCCTGAGGTCAGTAACTATGTCAGGTACTTGATTCTAAGCTTATCAAGTTTGTTTTGATGTGCATCCTTTTGTCTCTGAAAATGCAATTGATGAATAACAATTAATAATGAATAATTTTCTTATGTATCAACCAATATTATCAGTATTAATCGTATGTATAATTACCGTTGTTCTGCCTATTGGAGGGATTCCACAGTTGTAGCCATCAACTCCTGCTTTGTAAGTCTTCATGTGGCACATCATGTATACCGCACAGTCTGTTTTATTTTCACTGTTGCTCCATGGAAGATCAATAATCTTTGGTTCTTTCAGTTTTCTAAGTCTAGCATATGCAACTATCGCCCTTTGTGAATTAGCATACCTGGCAAAAGGTTCAACCTATTCATAGACATTTAAAGGAGTACTAAGTATTCATTATTTCAAGATAGTTATTCATCAGTAAAGCATTATTTACTCATAAATATAATACATAATATTTTACCAAAAAATTATAGGTTTCCCCATATTTGGCTACAAACGGAATATTATGTTTGATAGCTGTATCCATGTTGTCCAGCACTTCCACGCGGCCGTCTAGCATGTTGAACACATAGAGGTAATAATGATCGTTTGCAAGTACAGGGACAAACAGCTGCATGTTCCGTGTTGTTAGTATAAGTTTTAATTTGTATGAAAGATAACATTTCAATATTATATGATAATGATATTCATCAAAGAAATCATAACCTGCAATATACTTGTTGATTTGAAATCTATAACTATTCAGTTTATGTACTTACTTGGTAAGCATTATCAAAATTCATTAATAACTACACATTACTCATCAGTAACTTAATGATATTCATCAAAGAAACCATAACATGCATTAGACTTTTTGATTTTGACTTTATAACTATTCAGGTTATGTACTTACTTGGTTAGCATTATCAAACTGCGAATTGCTGATGTTTTAGCATTGTAGCTCATAATCAATTCTGTAAATTGCATCTTCATAGCATTTCTCCGACGGCATCTTATTGATATTACTAGGTATTTGTGCATGTTAATGATCGGAGCACATTTGATATTAATATATAAATTCAGATGCATAACTTATAATGATAAATGATTATTTTAAAATTATGATGAACAATCTTACCGATATAATGAATGAAAAATAGATGTTGGGATATTTGGTCCTTTCTCTGGGTGCTAAATGGTTCAGGTGGGCTGCCCAAGCATCAACTATTTCATTACTTATTTACACTCTAGGGATCATTGATTTGATTTGATGACGTGGGACAAAATGGTATTCAACTCTGGGTTCTTTATCTTCTCCCGACATCTCAAACAGAGTTTCTCTGCATATGATAGATGTAAGACGTAAATAAAAGGTACATGATCAACATAAGTATTTTTAAAAGATGAATAACAGTGACAATATCATAGATTGGCATCGTAAAAGGGTTTGTACATGTCGTTGTCATCCGCAAATGCGTAATCAGATACGAGCCTTTCAATTTCAATGATTCCTTTGATTCCATTTCCACCATTTTTCCAGAATGATGACATGTCAGTTATTTTAATTTCTCCTCTCTTTTTCTTTTCGTCTTGCTTTTTCCCGCTGAGAACACTACAACAATGCAGGATGAATAACGTTATGTAAATAATGATTAACCAATTACAACTGTTGAATATTAAAAGTGTAAAATATTAAACAGAGTAGTAGACCTATCAATATACTCTTTATCTCTTCTTCCCTGATACTTTGATGATTTGTGTTATCACCTGTGCTGTCAATTACGTTTTGTGGTGTAGAGTAATTAGTTGCTGCACCTTGTATGATGCTCTCTAGGATTTCCTTCTCGACAGTATTCAATTCTTCAGTCTCATTTGTTTCAGGCAGAACAACTTTAGCTTGGGTTGCTGTAGATTTGATTGTATTTTTAACTATGGTCATCTCATAAAGTAATGATGCAGGAACATAAGGTACATGATGAACATAACTACAAATTTTTCAAGATGCATAAAACATGATGTATGATGAACATTAAAAATATCAGAAGATGATTACCAATTATAAGAATACGTTCAAACTCCAACTGGGTAAGCCCAATACTCCAGTTTGGTTGTGTTGAAATCACATCATCGTCACCCTTCTCCTGCTACTTATCGACAGGTTTTGATGATTTTAATGCATCTTCTATGAAGCTTTCGAACTTTTTTAAGCATTCAATCATCTCTTCACTGTTGCACCAAGCATCCAACTGGCTCTCTGTGTCAATTCCTTTGCCCAAAAAACTGTCATTTTCTACTGGCTGCTGATATCCTTCATTTCTTTGTTTCCCATCAACATTGTCAGGATCTTTGGCAGTTTCAACAACCATGTTGTTGATTGTCTTTGTGTAGTTGAAGAATCATTTCGCTAGCTGAAATTGGCTGCTAATTCCTGCAGATTTTGCTTCTTCAAATAATCTTCCAAGTTTTAATAGTAATGGCCCCTTATCATTGATCATTATGTCTTGAAACCTTTCGACCAAATCTAGTTCCTACAATATATTTTGTACTTTGGTTACTGATATGTTACTCATTAAAAAAACATAATTTGTAATAAAACAATCAATGCAAATACTATATTTGGGTACTGTACCTTTATAGTCTGCTGTTGTTCAGGAATTGGTCCAGGGTTTGATGTTGGATCTATAGGCTTTTGGTGAATAATACCACTCCCGAAACCATTTCCATTTCTCTTGTGTGCTGCCCTTTTATTTACATCATCAGTCGTCCAATGGGCAATTACTGGAAATTTGCGTGATCTTCTCTATTTTGAATCGGGTACGACATGATCCATGTATGCGAGCTGCAAAATGTTTTGTAAGAAAATAAAAAAAGATGAATAAACTATATGCTATAAATGAATATCATTCAACAACTGAAGAATTAAATATCAGTTTGTTATTTACCACAACAAAGACTAGTGGCCCTGTATAATGCCCTAGATTCCTTTTCCATTCCAACACCATGAACTTAAGTGTTGTAATGATGTATTCACACCATTTCAATTCTTTGATCGGATCTACATTGATTAGGGAGTTCATCAGCTGAAAACGACAGTCCGGAGATCTTGTTCTCCAGAATATACTTGATGCAACTCCAATAACGAACCATCTTTTGAACTTATCTCCATATATACGGTTTGTAAAAGTTGCTGGGTCCAGTTCCACGCCTTTTTTTTCATCCTTCCACCAACCAGATAGTTCAACAGTTTATTTGCTGGTGGACCTCCTTGCCTATATCTAAACCAAATGTTATTCTCATTTCATCAACCAACCTTGTATACTCTTCACTCCCTTTTCCTTCAACGTAGTCTACCACTTCATACCGACCTCGTGGTAAGCCTAGTACGGCCTCCACATCTGCCTCATCTATTGTCAGCAGTTGGTTTTCTTGCATTATCACCCGTGAAAATTGGGGGCTGTTTAATTACGGTGATAAAAACATAACATTAATAATAAAATAAAAAAAATACATTTAGTTTGGTTGATGCATTTCAACTCATGAATATACATAAACGAAATGATGTGTAATAATGTAATATTGTTGAGTAATATATTACTCACTCGTAGTTGTCCAGAAGGTATTTGCACAAATCTGGGTCGTCAAACCTCTCAAATTTGATATCCAGAAGGTGCCCAAACCCGATTTCTCTGACAGCGTTTTTTTGTATGTTATCCAGTTTAGCAACAAAATCGCATACAACATGGGGTGAAACTCTATTTAGGAACGGGTTGTCTTCATCTTGCCTGCTTTTCCTCTTTTTAGGCTGGCCCTTCTGTGCTGTTTTGGCTTTTGGGGTACCTTTCGGTCCTCTGAAAAAAATTATAAACCCCTCAATATATATTATTAATGAACAATGCAACGAGCACTAAAATCAGAAAATCCGTAATTTTTTGGTTTACCTTTTTTCTTTTGATCCTTTCTTCGAACCTTTATCAGATGCAGGTAATTCTTGTTCTTTACGGTGCTTCGATGTCTCTTTTGGGTTGACATTTTTCTTGCTTTTATCTGTTGTGTTTGCACTAGAACACAAACAATATACGTTATATAATTTATGTCAGATTGAAAAATTAATGAAAACGTATCACAAATAATGCATATTGATGTATAACAGTTGAATAATGGCATTGTCACTAATCCATAAAGATATATTACCTTTGTGCTTTAGTACATTTCCTAGATTCCTTTTCTGGTCGTTGTGACACTTCTCTTTTCCTTTTAGGATTGCTTTTGTCACTGGTTCACAAATAACAGTCGCATGATTATCTATATCGATTTAAAAACGAGGCATAACAAATTATTACTAATGATGAATGATGAATGATAACAAATAAGTATTACCTCTTTTCAACACCGGAGAGACTCCTGGTCCGCTTAGTTCCCTGTCCCTCTATTTGTATCATTACATCCACCGATTCTGTACGTATTTCATCTCCAGATATCCTACTTGCTTGGGGAGCTTCATCAGGTTTTTTTTTTTGTTACTCCATGACGGTTAGTTTCGTATAAGCATTATATTCCAACATTTACTGTTAGTTTGTATTTCAATGGCAATGAATGAATAAGTATATCCAATGAATAAATGGAAATATATGATGAATATATTATCACATAATTTATGCTTTTGAAAAAAGGAACAACAAATACATAATGAATAAGGATGTTGACATGATGAATTTTGACACCGATATAATGAATACTATCAGTATCTTTTAACATTCTATTAAATTAACCATAAAACGCTCAAAAAAGCTAAATCATTGATGAAGTATCGTACTAAAAGGATGAATAATTATACAAAACTGATGAATAATGTATAAATCTGATTATCTTACCAAAATCAACATATTGTCGACGAACTATATGAGATTGACCAGAGTTTAATGATAATTAATGATATTTTTTTGATGAATAATGATACCAAAATGAGAAATACTGTCAGATCTATTAACAGTTCATCAAATCTACTAGAAAAAGCTAAACATGGCTATAAAATTGATGAACATGTATATTGACGAATAACGAATAGTAAACTGATGAATAATACATAATTCTATCAATCTTTACCAAAATCAACCAAAAATAGACGAACAAAACTAGTAAATTAATGAACAACATCAGTAATCGAGTGAATTATCTTAGATCTACATAACCCATCTAAAAAAAAATCAATTGGTTAAGAGAACAGCTGTGTTACCTCATAAATGCATCAAAATCCGAATCAGAATAAATGATATTTGATTTCTGCATAAAAGTTTCGGATCAAAAATCAATATTCAAACATTATAAATGAAAAAACAAACAAAACTGATGAAAAGCCGCTGAATTTAACCGTAGTTTACCCGGATTTTCATCGTCTAGCAACATAAAACTATTGGTTTGTTGATACCCTCTGGTTCTTTATCATAAGTTTCGTCGTTGAAGATTCTGTTTTTTGTATCGCCGGATGAGTGAATTTTTGGTATTTTTCGGATGTTTTGGTTTGAGACGGAATGGATTGAAATGAACAGGAAGTTGGGTTTGGGTAATGGCCGGAATTTAGGAGATAATGGCGGTTATTGAGATTTGAAATAAAAAAAGTCGCGAATTGTGGGGGTTTTTAATGCACGTGTGTAATTCAGTCAATAGCATAAATGGTAAATAGTTCAACTTGCCATCATTCCGGGCGCATTATTTACACACTAGGTACACCTTGCTAGGTGTACCTAGGATCCCTATATTATAATTGATAAATATGCCTTTGCAAATTTTTGTCCGAACCCCAAATTCCCTTACAAAAAGAAATTTAAGGCTATGAAAATCCGCGTGTTTCTTTTGGAGGGGCATTATGTTGGGTTGATTTCTCTCGATTAGGCCAAGGTGATCGGAGTGCATAATTGGCGAGGTAATTAAAATCCAAGTCAATTAACCGAGGAATAAATCTGGAAATGGACAAAGAGTCGGAAAAGCAGTTTCAATTTCAGATATCCGCAGAAAATATGAATGAATCTGATAATCTCAGTTTTGATCAAATACTATAAAACTAACGGGTACGAAGTCTGAGGTCTTCAAGTCTTCAACCAGTCCAATGATTGATTTCAGCATTGCTTGGAATTTCAGAAATCTTCCAGTCCAACATCAAAGTATCCCTGACATCCTCGTCAGTCACAGCTCCACGAGACTCGGTTTTCGCCTCATTAATCTCTTTGTTGTTAAGTGCTGAGATTTGAGCCTTAAGATCTCTTTCTCTATCACGTAACTCGCAGGCCTGCGGAAAAATATAATTAAGCTGTTAGAGTCGTTAACAAAATAGACGTTGAATCTTATATCAGAAGAATAGTAATCGCGGAAAATCAATTGAGAAAGGAAATGAAATGACATACACAAAGAAGATGCATATATTTTCCTACTTCAGTATTTGCGTCAATCTAGACATATAATAGCTACCTTTTCGTAATCTTGTTTTTCGACAGCTTTAAGCTTATCAGCGGTCACATGGCCGAGCTCAGTCTCTAGAGCTGTAACCTGTTCTTGAACCTGAAGGGGAAGAGAGTTGATTACCTACATGCTGAAAAGCAGCTTCATTGAAACAACTTACAACTGGTGAGAAGAGTCTAGACCTGAGCATGATTGTGTGTAAGACGGAATCTAGCACGAGAACCAGCGTCGTCCATCAAATCGATTGCTTTATCGGGTAAGTACCGGTCACTAAATGTTGAAATTTACAAATGCAAAAGTGTAAATTAATCAGTTCGCATGCCATAATAACGCTTAAACACCGCTAAATCTAGCTGCAGGAAATAGTTTGAAGTTTCTTTACAACAAATATGACATAGGTACAAGATGAATATATCCTGTCTTTTTATTAGAACAGTAAAACTGAGATTTTATCCAAGGCCAAAAATGTTCACAAATAGGGAGAAAACCATAAATGATTAGAATTAACCAGTTACCCATCCCGTGTATAAGCAAAAATTAAAATAAAAATCATCAGCAACAATTGATCTGCGAGCAAAGGACACAATTCCATTATTTTGGTGTTGCAATTTCCGGAGAAAAACGATATATAATATCTTTGCTGTAAAAATTCAAAACACAATATGAACTGCTAACAAGTAAACTTATTGAAAACACACAAATATAGCAATGAGGGGTAAGATGTGAAAAAAGAAAAGGTAACAAAGAAAGAGACCTGAAATAGTATGAGAGTTTGGCAGCTGTGACCAAAGACTCATCTGTGTAACGTACGTTGTGATGAGTCTCATATTGCTCTTGAAGCGCCTTCAAAATTTCAACAGTTTCTTGTACAGAAGATTCAGACACCTTGATTCGATTAATATGTCTCTCCAGAGCTGGATCCTCAATGTACCAGTCGTACGAAGTAGCCCCAATACACTGTAACCCATGAAAACACGATATCAGTAAATTCCTCAACACATGAGCAATAAGTACTAAAAATACACATAATACTCCACACCAAGCTGAAATACAATGAAACAGAATATTATTTTGAATACTACAAAGAAAAATTTGCAAGAGAAAAGGAATGAAACAAATATGCCAGGAACTTTATTTCGGGATTTTTTTTGTTTGGGTTAATAAAAGAGACAAGCCCAAAAAAGAATTAGACAATGTGACGTGCATGAGATACCGAGAACGTTGTGTTCTAGCAATGTTTCAATACCGACTTCATTTATAACCAAAAACATCATTCACTTGTCAAGTAGTCAAGTAGTTAGTATACACCATGCCAGAAATACGCAACCGTTTTCTTATTTGCCTGCGTTTTAAACTTGATTACCTGTAGCTCCCCACGAGATAGAGCAGATTTTAAAATGCCACCACCACCACCACCTTCCTCATTGTCGTCCTCCACGTCATCATCGTCCTCCTCTTCCGACTCCTCATCCTTGTCCTCGTCCTCCTCCGATACCTCATCCTCGTCCTCCTCATCGTCCTCCTCTTCCGACTCCTCATCCTTGTCCTCGTCCTCCTCGTCTGACCCCTCATCCTCGTACTCGTCGGATTCCTCATCCTCGTCCTCCTCGTCTGACCCCTCATCCTCGTCCTCGTTGGATTCCTCATCCTCATCCTCGTCCTCGTCCTCCTCGTCTGACCCCTCATCCTCGTCCTCATCGGATTCCTCGTCCTCGTCCTCTGACTCCTCTGACTCCTCCTCCTCTGAATCCTCTGACTCCTCGTCCTCCTCTGAATCCTCTGACTCCTCGTCCTCCTCTAACGCCTCTGACACTCCAAAAACTTTTTGGACATCATCAATAAAAAGTATGGTATCACCACTTTGTTTAATCTCCTCCATCAATTTCTTCAGCCTTTCTTCACGATTTTCTTCAGCAAGGAGGAGTCGCATGTCCAGTTTTATGACCTAATAAAGAGAACAAATTAAAAGTTCAAAACCCCCCAAGTTTAAGTTATTTAATGACAAAAAAGCATCTTAATTTTTACCAAACAATTTCACATATTTACAGAAATAAATGAGTTTATTTTACCTCCTTCCCTCGGAGTGTCTCAGGAACATCACCATTTGCAATCCGTTGAGAAAAACACTCAACAATTGCTGTTTTCCCAACTCCATCTTCTCCAATGAGAACAGGGATATTATTTTTGGATTTTCTACACAATGTTCGAATAACAAGTTCAACTTCAACCCTTCTTCCAATTACGCGCTTCAGTTTCCCTTCTTTCGCTAGCTCCGTCAAATTTGTACCATACTTTTCTAGTAAACTAAGTTGCTTAGTTTTATCTACTATTTTGCTGACGCCATCGCAGCCGCCACGGCCGCGGCCGCCACATCGGGCGACCAAACCGTCCAATCCCTTGGTCGAACTCCGCCCGGAAAAACTATTCAAATTCAACCTTAGAGGCGTTACCAGCAGCGGAACGCCTGCCATTCTGAGTACTGAACTTCTGCTTCTACTATCATGGTTACTTTTTGATTGGGAAATATTCAACGTAGGAGTAAGAGATGAGATATTGGTCGACTGGAGAAAAACTCTTGCCATGATTCTTTTCCTTGGGAGCTTTATGAATTCCGACGAGGAAGAAAAATGGAGGCGCGTATGAAATAGAGCAAGAAGAGGAGGCTAAAATAAAGTAATCACGGTTAACCCTAGATATATATATATATATATATATATATATATATTTAATACGAGATATTAGAAAAAAACAAAAACTATTTTTTCCCGTTATTATGTAGTAGTATAAAATAGCACTGCTACTTCCGTCCCTAATATAAATGTAGTTTCACAAAATAATTTCGTCCCAAAAAAAATTCACAATTTAAAAATCAAAACTAAATGTAAACGTAATAACTAAGTGTTGAGGGTGAAATCTGTTACGACGAGAGTCAACGGTGTCTATAGACCTGAGACTTACAAAATAAGGGTTAGCACTCCGACGAACAAGTCAGTCTAAGGAGTGATAGAAATAAAGTGCGTGAGCTAAGAAGGGAGTGGAAGTCCGTCCTTCCTCACCACAAAAAAAAGGGTATATATAGATAAGGTGAGGGGAATATTCCCTGAAAATATTCCTTTCTCAAGATGGGCTTGAGTCATTGTTAGGGCTTTAACTGACCCAATTAGCCATACAAGAGTATTCCCGGACCCATGAGTGGTTGTTGGCCCAGGTGAAGATCCATGGTCTGACAGGTGCAGCTTCATTTGGGCCGGTCAGAATTGACCATCAACAAGTGCCCCTACCAAGTGTTAGTGGAGAAACACATATATGTAATAATTAGTGTGAAACACAATGCTTGGCAAATAATAAAAATGGACTTGAAGGTCGGGCTCACGGGAGAGCTGTCCATTCATGGATCCACGTAATTAGGCAAAACACAAACCCTCATAATGGCTGAAGAGTAATGACAGGTAAATGTGATCGGAGTGCAAAACATTGGCACGCCGAATCCTTGTCGAGGGGACCTTCACCTTCGGTCATCGAACATGCCCCAGAGATAAGCCAAAATCAAATGCGCCAGTTGTGTAGACACCAGAGTAGAGACTAGAGAGGCACAAATCGTTTAGGGGAGTTCATTCCCGGCCCAGTGAAGAGGTCAAAAGAGAGAGAAGGTGACGGAAAATTCTTATGGAAGAGGTGAGATCAAGGCTTGTGACGACACATGATAGGTTGGAATAATAGCGTGGATAGACCTCATTGAGGTCTGATAGGCTGAAAATCATAACCGCTACATGATCCGTCAATAAAGGGTAGGTAAGGAAAAGTTCGTGCCCGAGGTTAACCCAACTTTTTGTCTGAACCCAAAACACATAGTGTACAGTGACTCGAGATAGATCGAAGAACATTTTCTGAATGTCAATGGACGAGGACGAATGTCTGAGGAGTCAAAAGCTTCTTGGAAATAAGACGAGGCTGATGAAGCAGTCGAGTAGCTAAAGCTAATAATGATGGCTTAAGGAAGGTCAAAAGGTTTTTATGGACATAGCGTAAGTTAATTACAACCCGTGTCGGCACATGGTAGGCCGAGGAACATCATCATTGAATTACTAATGCTTAGGAGCATAAATTCAAGGTCTGACACTGACCAGGTACCAATGGAGGGATATAACAGGCACCTGATAGGTAGGATAACACAGTAAGGACGTCCAGGGTCACCCGCGGACACAAGAGAGGCTTGAAGCTTCAATTAATTAGCTAACCTGCCTCTGATAGGTAGAGACAAAGAAAAGTAAATCATGATGGACCATCAGAAAGGGTTAGGTTATCATCAGCCGAAGGTGACCAATAAGAAATTAAAAGTTTACTTTAGAATAAGCCGATCCTGGTTAAGTCGTCAAGTGGCAAAGACCAACAATGATGGCTCAATGAAGGCCGATGGTGTCACGAATGTGCCACGAGCAAGACGTGAACCCCAACGGCTTGTGACATGCCGAAGGTTATGGTCGAAATGCCAAGAAGGTTGGGCAAACCAACAAGTTGCCCCTGTCATGTTCAAAGATAGAAAAATGTTTGCAAGCACAGGTAAACGGGAGAACCTTTATCCTAAACTTTGAACGAATCGATAAACGAACTCCCGTATTGACCTGTGTCATAATGGACTGAGCCAGGAGAATTAGCATGACATTGGTGGTTAGAGCCGGGTGATATTATATAGAAACTTCTGAGAAGAAGTCACGCTTTGATAAGAAAGATGGCGACGGAACACCGAAGCATGACGAAGTGTTGTCCGAATAGCACCATCAAAGATTATCATTAAACTCGTGCGAAGTCAGCAATGCACCATCGAGGAGAACAGGAGTCAATCCAAAAGGTACATCAATTAGGTCTGTCATCCCCCTAGGGGGTGAGAGGTACAAGAATAAAAGGTATTACCACTGCTGGGTAATATGAAGGTCACTTAAGTAAATGGGCGACCGTTGCCCTTATTGGGGGAGAAGCATTGGAAAATTTTTTCCATAATCTGATGCTTAGACGATCAACTTCTGATGAAGCAGAGGCTGACGATCCAAAAAGGGAGTCCAGGTGGTTGTGGTCGTGGCTCTGACAGGAAAAACACGGCCACTCCTGTAAAGGAGGAGGGGCGCAAAGAAACACTGAAGAAGAGGGCGTCTTCAGAAATGTCTTCGGGCCAAGGCAGGCAGGAGACCGCGCCCGTGCAAGAGGACGACCGATGCCAACCGTTAGGTCTTCACTCCACTACAATCCCAGGAGAACCATGTAACGAGTTGAAGATTACGGAATGACTACGAGGATCATGCAAGGGAATAAGCCGTCCTGACGACGTGCCCAAGGGCCAAGCATGGGTTCTGCTCAACCCGCCGACGGCAGCTTGCCACGACGCACCCAAAGAGAAACAGATAGAGGATTGCAAGCAGCAAGTGAGTTTTCTCTCTTCGATCCATGCTATACGACCTAAAAGAATGCTGACCATCATCTTCGTGAGATAGGTCGTGCAAGCACTAGGATCCTTTGTGAGGGTATGTACGACCCTGGAATACTAAGTGCTCTCGGCAAGGAAGAGGGTCTTCAGTGAAGCTACTAAGGTCAAGAACGCGAAATCGCTGGTGTCGACCCTCGAAGCTGAGAGAACCCAGCTGAAGAGGAAGTAGTGTCGGCTCACAGGAAGCTGGAGGAGGCGACCTCAGCCCTCACCGCGCAAATAGGAGAGCTGAAGGCCTCGGCCGTTCCAAAGTCCTACCCTGATAAGTACATAGTCGTCGGGCTGAAGAGGCACTTAAGGCCACACGTGTTCGCCCTCCGCACAGATGAGGTTATGGACGAGCTACGAAAAAGGGCTCAAGTGACACTATGGTGGACATCAAGAAGCCCCAAAAGAAGAAGGAGGAAAACCAGACCTGGTCAAACAAATACACTGATCGGGCTGTGAAGGGGAGGACCTCCGCGATAAGGCTCCGGTGTAAGGTCTGAAAGCATTTGCTAGACATGGACTTCTAGGCTCTCCCCGTTGCACAGAAGATCTCCTAGCTTTGTCCCTCCATAACTTCCATGTGGGACACCTTGAACATCCCTGGGGATCCATCCTTGATCTTCACCATGCCGAAGGGCATCCAGACCACGTTGAGGACGTGTCTGGTGCCTGACGATGAAGTGAAAGAACCCAAGTGCAGGGAAATTGAGATGACCCAGGGAAAAGGGGACTCGGAGAGTTCGGGCAACGACGCAACGTCCACTGAATCCAATGCCAGAAAATGGCGACAAGGTAAACAACGCACAGAAAGAGGGCTTCTGCTCATAATTGATTGTTCCCTTGTGATGTAATTTTAAGTGTATTTTCTTTAATAGTACCAATCCCAACCCACCCGGGGTTTTTGTGCTCAGACAATTCTTATTCTCGCGATGCTTTGTGAAGCCAAAGCTCAGCTGCTTTGTGTGATTTTTTGAATTTTTTTCACCAAACTGATAATTTATTATGCTCAGTGTGTTATGTTAGGAAAAGAAGACTACCTCCTTGGGGCATGAACATGTGTCCAAAGGAAGATCAAGGAGCATGCCATCGACTCCCCGGAAGTCAGAAACCCTTGGAATTTCTTGGATACGTGTAAACTTGTGTGACTCTTCTTATGATTCGAAGGACTGGCCATACTTGAATTCGAGTTGTGCGGCAGAGCTTAAGGAGGCCCGCTCGGTATCCAGAAGCTGTAGGCAGAAAACGGGCGCCTAGGTAAGCTATGGAGGGATTCCGAGGCATATTAGGAAGGCTACATGAACAACTCAATTCAACTAGAGATGTTGGCTAACGAACGTTTAAGAACTTTCGAAGCCAAGATAAGAAGAAGAAGGAAGACAGCCTGCCAGAACCTGACCCTGAAGACTTATCCCACATAACTACTATGAAAGTGTTCTGGTTTACCTTCAGAGGGCTAAAGCATTAGTAGCCGTGGACAGGATAGCATCGCTTCGGACGTACACTGGTCAGCTGTGGTCGGCATTGGAAGATGCTACCTATTTTGTTGTGGAAATAGGTAAGGAGTACGACTTTAAATCCCAGTGAACCGGTCCTCGCCCCGAATGTGGGATGACCATGCATCACCTATATGCGAGGCTGAGTGGTGGATATATACCAAGCTCTCTCATGAGTTAGGACGAGGGTCATCTTAATCGGGAATAGGTCCGGCTTTAGTTGCCAGGGCGAGTGTATTTGTAGGAAGTGCTAGACTAACGTTCTTTTGTACCTTTTATTTCCTTTCATTTATTTAATTCATTTTCTTATACATTGTTTGGACATTTTATGTTCGTTTCACATATATAAAACTTTTGTTAGACATTTAGAGGATAGTTTATGTCCCTTCCCCCGAGTTTTATATTCAGAAACGTTTTAGAAGCGTGTTCTTGTGCATGGGCTTATGAAATTAGCCTAGATTTTCATTGTGATAAAGAAGCTGTAAGCCTAAAGGGCGATAGGTGTTGTTGA